ATCAGGCTTGACAAAGCCCTGGCTGGGATGATTTAGCTGGCAATTGGTCCTGCTTTGAGCAGGGGGTTGGACTAGATGACCTCCTGAGGTCCCTTCCAACCCTGATATTCTGTGATTCTATGTGCACTAGTGGGCACAGACAGTTCTGCTGTTTTTTCCCAAGCTTGACCTCTTCTGCCCCATTCCCTTCAACCCGTCTCTGTCCCAGTCCTATCTCTTTCCTGCTCCTTGTCCCAGTCTCATTTTCCTTTCCTACGCAGTCCCAGCCTCCACTTCTCAGGCTTCTCATCACAATCCCAGTCTTCTTGTCCAACCAGTCCTACTCTTCTGCTCTGGGATCAATCTCTGAACCTCAATTTCCCCCATGACTCCCAGTTCCCTTGCTCAGCCTGCCCCAGTTTCCCCCTCCTGTCCCAGCTTCTTGTCCCCAGTCTCCATGCTCAGGCAGTCCCAGTTCATGCTACCTAGCTCCTCATTTGATACATCTCTCCCCTCATCCCCTTCTCTTGCTCTCAGTCCCATCTAACTTCTCCAGGATCCTCATCCAATCTCAGTATCTCCCAGCAATTCCCTACCCAGATCCTTCTCCCAATCACTTTGCCCAGCAAGCCTCAGTTCTCCCCCCACACTCCAGCTCCTCGTTAGGTCTGTCTCTCATTCCCTCCCTACTGTTTTCCTCCAGTGTTTCCTAGACTCAGCCCCCTTGTCCAGCAAGAAGCAGTTTCCCTCTTACCCCCAGCTCCATGTCCAATCTCAGTGTTCCCCACTCCTCTCAGCCAACAGACTCCCATTTTGCTCACCAGCTCCTAATTCCAATCTCCCCCTCCAAAGGTTCTCAGGACCAGCCTCCTCCCACAGCTTCCAAGCAGTCCCAGCTCCCAGTCAAAGTGTCTCTCCCCTCTCCAAGTCTCATCAGACTCCTTGTCCCAATTTATTCCTTTCTCTCCCCTCCCCCACATCTGGTTCTTGTTCCATCTCCATTTGAATCAGGTGGTTTCCTCTTCTACTCTGCCTACATGCCAGCAGGTGGGTCAGTGAGAGCACAGGACAGATAGGTTCCATGTTCTCAGTTCTGGGGCATGGCCCCACATCAACCTGCAGCAGCAATTATGAGGAAAGTCCTTCTGAAACCCCAGAGCTCTGGGCTGGAGCACGCTCAGTTGCTCTGTGGGGGTGGCGTATGCACGATCTGGTCAACTCTAGGAGGTGTGACTTTTTGAACATGCTCAGTAAAGATGGAATTTTAGGTGTGAATATGTAGCAAGGCTCTAGTGCACGGGCCGGCAACCTTTCAGGTGGTCCACTGAAACACCTTGGGTTATGAACTCTAATAACATTAGTAGACAATGTTTCCATTAATAGACAAGAGGCTCAGCAACCTATTCCAGGTGCTATGTTATGATTTATATGAAGGTTAGAGACTTAATGACAAGCACTACTTAACTGAGAGGGTTATCACACAGAAAACTGCCAGTAACATATTTTTTTTAAAATTTTTTTAGGGAAGTTATTGTTTGTTCTGGTTTATTGTTGTATCTAATTAATTGGGGTCCGATCCTGCAAACAACCACACATGTAGTCAATGGGACTGCTCTTGTTCATACGTGTTTCCAGTATGGCCCCTTAGTCAGAAGTTAGGCAGTTGTGCTGAGAAACAATTTAAAAGCTGCTTCCTGTGAATGTGCCAGCATCTTAGCTAGTTAGTCTTCTGTATTGTTCTCTAAAAGCTCTGTGAACTTTTCTTTCAGGGTAAAATTCATCCCTCTGCAGAAAACCAGCACAAAGCCCATGGACCACTTAAATCTCATTTAATCCCTCAAAATAGGTCTTAAGGCACAAGCCTTGTGTGCTGACTTTTATTTCACCCTCTGTGTTAAAAGTTAATCATTTCATAAAAGAAAGCCAAGTATAACAGCCATGTATTTTAGCTGAACATTCAAATGGTCACAATTTCATCTTTAATATACCACAAAGGAGCATAGTCCAGGCATGAGAAGATAGGTTTTTACTTTCCATCAAGTGCTGCAGTTTTCCTAGTTGCAGTCAGCTTGATGAGGCTTGGAGAGTGATGTCCACTGGCCAATAGCATTCACCATTTGACTGAAGTCATGCAGCCCCACTGAGCTGATTGGCTAGCCTTAAAAGTTGGCTGCATGGGAAGAGTACAGCTTCCATTTTCCATCAGCCTGGGGCTCTCAAGCAAATTGTGAAACCAAATATCTCCAGAGTTTGTGTTTTATCAGGTTCCTTGATAATATTTTATAATGATTTTAAATATTACTACTTTACAAGCATTGCAAATGGATCTTTAAGTTTACTTCAAAATATAAATACAAAACAGCTGCACAGAACAGCAAGTTATTCCCTAACAATAACAGCATTTTACTAAAGCACATTGATGACACCAAATCATGTTTTCAAAGATCACAGATTCTTTGCTGCATCCAGTTTTAAGAGTGGGCTGTCAGAGAGAGGGCTCTAGCTTCTCATTTAACTGCGTGACCATGGCCCCAAGAGATCAGTTGGGGATTGTCCTTCACACTCTGGTCACTCCCTCTGTCATGTCCTCGTAACCCAAGCATGTCTTCTGTGCAGGGAATGGGGGATGGCCAGGAGGGAAGTGTAGCAACTGTCTCTGCCAGGTCTATACCTGGTGGGGACTCTTCCCTGCCAGAAGCATTCTCAGCAGTACATTGTGAGAATTTGAGCATTTAGAAAGGAGCAGGCCTTATGTTTTTATGTCAGCTTCACAATCGTATGATGAGGTAATATCAAGCATTTTTTCTACAGGAATGATTAAATAATATTATTAGTAATACATACATAAATATAAATAATTATTTTCAAGTCAAAGGCATTAGCCTCCCAAATAAACACATAGTCGTATTATTCTCTCCTTTGTCCTTCCTCCTCCTGTTTGTCCTTGTTTTAAGAATAACCTGTGTCAGCTCAGTACCAACACGTACACATGTGCTTAATGTTAAAGTGAAGCACACACAAATATTTGCAGGATTGGGGCCTCTGATCGCTATGCTTTTTTGGGCTGGGAATCCATCTTTCTCTGTAGTGTGAAACTCTATTCACATATATGGCACTGTGTAAATAAGTAACAAATAATAAATGGTCTCCATCATAACTAAATGGGGTTTGTTTTTTGTTTGTTTTTTCAGAATAACCATTTTTCTGACTTTGTGGACAAGCAAACTGGTTACACAACTAACTGCATGCTGGCAACCCCTATTATGCAGGGCAAGGAGGTGCTTGCTGTTGTGATGGCACTTAATAAAATAAATGCCCCCGAATTCTCTAAAGAGGATGAAGAGGTAACTTTAGACATTAAAACAGGAATACTATTGTTCTTTTAACAATAAATATGGCAGCACCTATTACTTGGTTTGATATTTTGTCTTATTTTTGTTCTCTGTCATTTATAGGTCTTTAAGAAATACCTCAATTTTGTTTCTGTTGCCATAAAACAATACCATATCACATATCTCTACAATATTGAAACCCGAAGAAGTCAGGTAAAGAAGGATTTGTTAATGAGAACCTTCATTCGCTTTTTCTTATGTAAAATCATTACTAATGATATGGTCTCACACTGTTCCACAGACAATACATAAAATTTATTATGTTACAGAATGGTATCAACCTCCATTATGAATTCATTCTTTAATATCTGAAACTTTCTTTTCATCTGTAATACACTCTCTTCACTACTTGAATATTTACCCAGTTTTCTCTCATTGTAAGTAGATGCTTTTATGGTCTGCCAACAAAGTATTTGAAGAACTGACAGATATTGAGCGACAGTTTCACAAAGCACTGTACACTATTCGAATTTATTTGAACTGTGAAAGATACTCTGTTGGTCTGCTGGATATGACCAAAGAGAAGGTAACCAGCATTTTACTAATTACTTGGAAATGTAGAATTCACTTAATTCAATATCATTATAAAAAATTAATCCCTCCACTACCTAATCTGTCTGTCATGGATAGCTCTAATATGCCTTTCTCCATGGAATCAATGGGCTATGCTTTCTAAGTATGGTTTCAAAATGACATGAGGCATGAATTATATTCAACTAATATGAGTCACCAAAATTACATGTAAAATATATAAAAATAGGGCAGGCCATCTACGTAAAACATGCAGATTAGGCTCAGGTGGTTATTTTTATTATATACTTCTCCCACCCACTAAAATGTTGAGAAAGCCATGCAGATTTCTGGCATTGGTTTTCACACTAACCTGCAACTTACTTGCTAAAACTTTTGTTTGGTGTATATTTAACAATGTTTTCTCCATACTGTTCTGAGATGTGACCAGACCAAGTAGGGTTATGGAGAAGTATAGCATAAAATTATTGTCCATGCATGTCATGTTACCTATTGGTATATAACTGAGAAATGCTTTGTATTGTTAATCTGTGTGTAATTATTTTTAGGAGTTCTATGATGAATGGCCAATCAAGCTGGGAGAAGCAGAGCCTTATAAAGGACCAAAAACACCCGATGGCAGAGTGAGTATAAATGCTTCCTTTTTACACATCATAATTTTGGAATTTAGTTGCACAGGATAATTAATCCATGTTTTTCTCCTTTTTTATTTAGGAAGTCATCTTTTATAAGATTATTGATTATATTTTACATGGAAAAGAAGAAATCAAAGTCATTCCGTAAGTATTCATTATCAGCTTGTTAAATATGTAGCAGTTAGCGGCGTTGCTCAGGTAGAACTGCAACATGTTTATATCTGTGACATTGACTTATTGAATCTCATTCTGTCTCTACAGGTCACCTCCTGCAGATCACTGGTGTCTTGTAAGCGGGTTGCCAACATATGTTGCTGAAAATGGATTTGTAAGTTAATTGCAAAAAAAGAAAGTTACACATTTTATAGAGTTCTTTGATCAAGCAGAGACTTCAGAAGCCATCATCAAAACTTCCTTATATTGGCTAAATGACTGGAAATACAATAAGTATTTATATATACATATAAATATAAATACAATAGTGTGAAAATATCACAAAGTCTCCAGGATTATAGCTGCCATGGAGTACAGGGGCCAATCAATAGCCTGGAGGGACAAGCCATCTATGCAGATGACCTGTGAACCAGGGGATTTCCGGACAGATCTTAAGACATCTCAGGGGTTGGAGGATTTAGGTCTCTGACTTGCATTGCAGGCGTACAAGTCCATTCTCACAAAAGAATGATCTGTCAGCAACTCAGCAAACAGAAACATGTAGAATTTTCTGTTTAGTTTTAGTCCTGGTACAGGGTTATAAACAGAAAGATGGCTTGGACCCAAATCTGAACCAAGGTTTCAACATGGTGTAAGATATTGTCTTTCAGAGGAGATACAAAATTAAAGGTCTCTGTGTGTTCTGTAGTCATTGCTGATTCTGTGGCACTTTTTGTAAGAGTAGGGGTTAGCTCAACTATTTACCTCTTCCTAAAACTCCCCATGCAGTTTAAAATTGGATATAATATTCTTCTTTACTTCCTGCCCTAAAATTTTGCCTTCTTCCTGCATATTGTTAAGTAACTATTGTGCTTAATAAAATATATTATGAACACCATACACAAGGCAGAGTGTTTTCAGCACTCCAAGTGGCATATAGCGGAGTAGCTAACTCTACTCTAATAATACTTTGATTTATGTAAAATGACAGTTAATTTTCTCTTAGAAAATGAAAATGCCTTTTTAAAATGCCAGACTATGGATTTCAGTGTATATACTGCACCTAAACAATGGGGCTTTTTTGTTTCCTTATACCACAGATTTGTAACATGATGAATGCACCAGCAGATGAATATTTTTCATTTCAGGTAATAACACAGTATTTCTTTTATTGTAATTATTATAGGAAAGTACCCTAATGCCATCTACCCATTAGTCATAAAGTTGATTGCACAAATATTCATACATTCCATAGTTGCGGAGGTGGCTGATAATTTTGTTATTGTACTTATTTGTGATCTTTGGGTACCAACTGTGACATTTACAATTATACAATTATAATACCAAAATATTGTATGACTATTTTTAAAGAAATATTCAATATTTCCGCTTCTTTTGGTTTGCTTGCAGAAAGGGCCTGTGGATGAGACAGGCTGGGTTATCAAAAATGTCCTGTCTTTGCCTATTGTCAACAAAAAAGAAGAAATTGTAGGAGTAGCTACATTTTACAACAGAAAAGATGGAAAACCCTTTGATGAATTTGATGAACAGATCACTGAAGTAAGTTTAATGAGAAGAAAGATTTTGTAGATGATCATTTAATGTTAAGAGATATTTTTGTTAAGTCTCAGTTAAAAATTACTATTTTAGGTAGCAGTTATAGTGAAAGTTTGTTATCCTCTTCATTACAATTTCTTAATAGTAAAAGTATTTCCATTAAAACTCTTTACACACTTGTACAGTTATGAGCTTTTTTCCAGTAGTGAACAGACGGCAGATACCATAAAAAATCATGCTAACAAATAAACAAAAAAACCCATATAAGATTAGTTAAGAATGGTCAAAATCATTTAACTGACATTAATTAGTATTTGTAGTCTTCAGGACAGAGATAACAGACCATCTGATTCACTGGATGTCACCCCTAAGACTCTGATCCTGCCAGGAGCTCCTTGAGAGCAAGCCTGTGTAAGGTCCCGTTGACATCAGTGTGGTTCTGCACAGGTGCAAGTGTGCACCCATACACTGGGCAAGTCACTTAACCTCTGTGCACATCAGACCCCCATCTGCAAAATGGGGAAAATGCTTCCCTATATTACATGGTTGTTGTGAAGCTGCATGTATTAAAGTTTTTCAGGGGCTCAGAGCATGAGCACCAACTCTGTGGGTGCTCCAGGGTTGGAGCACTCATGAAAAAAAATTAGTGGGTGCTTAGCATCCACCGGCAGCCAGCTCCCCACCCCCAGTGCCTCCAGCCCACCAGCGGCTCCACCAATCAACTCCTCCCCCTCCATTCCAGCTCCTCACGCCCGCCGGGATCAGCTGTTCCGCAGGAGGTGCTGTGGGGGAGGTGGAAGAGCAGGGACAGGGCACACTCAAGAGAGGGAGCAGAACTGGGTGGGAAGAGACAGGGGTGAAAGCTTGGAGAAGGGTGGAGTTGGTGCGGAGCCTGGAGCAAAGCAGGGATTGAGCATCCCCAGGGCAAGGAGGAAGCCGGTACCTGTAGCTCAGAAGCTGTGTTGGTGGGAGGCACATAAGTACCCTGCTGGACCTTTTAAGGAGTTCAAATTGTCAGTTTTCCTTTAATATTAAGCCAAATGAATTGTCACTACATCATCTCCATTTTCCTCTGTTTTGTTCCAGAGTCTTACACAATTCCTTGGATGGTCTGTTTTAAATACTGACACCTATGACAAAATGAATAAGCTTGAAAACAGGAAAGACCTTGCTCAGGAAATGCTCATGTACCAGACAAAGGCCACCCCTGAAGAAATTCAGTCCATATTGGTGAGTATCTTTCTAGTACCACAGAATTCAAATAGGAATCTTGTGGAACGGAAACTTAATTTTTCATTTATTTTCACTTTAGAAATACAAAGAGAAATTGAATGTAACCAGTACTGAAGACTGTGATGAGAAAGCCCTCCTCAAGATTTTGGTAAGTAATGAAACCCGATACTTAAACTTTCAGTGGCCTATTAACTTCAGGCTGTGATGGGTCTCCTTTGTGTTTGTGTTAAAAATGTGTTATTTAACCTTCTTCTACTTAATACAACATATTTATATTAGTCATCAGCTCCAGGGATCTTGTGCAGGTGCCTCATAAAAGTCTTTTTGGCAATATGTTAGGTTCTCTCATACACTGATATGCAACCTATATACTTCCCATGGTACCAACCCACTAAAACAGCATTCTCCCTGGATTTTCATATGAAAATCTGTCAGAGGTAATGCAGGAAGTAAAGTCTTTGTACTGTTCAAGAGGAGCTGAACTATCCAGGGATCATTATGATAGCATCCTGATTCAAAGAAAATGGACCAAATTCTATTTTAGGCTGCATGGTCAGCATCACTATACGGGGGGTGGAAACTGAATACTTTGCTTGTATTGTTTGGTTGCCAGAAGTAGGTAAAAAGGGGTAAAATGCAAAATTAGGAACTAGGACTGACCTGAATGTTCACAAAGCAACAATCAATTTTCAGTAAATAGACAACTTGCTACTGGTAGAACCTCTTTGCATAATACCTTTTGAAAGATGCTAAAGTCAGATAGGTAAGAGAGAGAAAAGAACAAGGATGAGTTAGGTGGTTTAAAACAAGAGAGACTTTGGGCTAAAGTCATCTGTGGTGCATCTCTATCAAAATCAGCATTGCATCAGAAATTCTTTATTATTTGGATAGCATTAGCACCTAGCCACCCCAGTCTTCCAGGATTCCATTGCATTAGGCACTGTACAAACCCATAATTAAAATTCACACCATTATGTTGACCAGTAATGGTATAATAGAGATCAAGAAAATGAACACTGAATGTGTTTTTGCTATCTGGACAGATATATTGCTAACATACACTATCATACACAGCCTGCTGACTTAGGGCCTATCTTCCAAACATTTAGGCACATATTTAATGTCACTCACATGAGTAGTTCCATTGAAAATTATTTACATTCTTAAATATTTGCAGGCTCAAGGCCTTATTTCCCAAAGAGATAAAAAGGGACTATCCTAGTTACTATTGCAGGCTGAAGGAGTTATAGCTGCCTCCTTAAAATGCTATTTGCTATTTGTTTTTCTTAATAATTTTAATTTTATTTTTTCATTTTATTTTATGATTAATTGGATTGACTCTGCTCATTCGTCATTCAGTCTGCATGAATGAATATTACTGAGTTTTATATGGGAACCTACTGTATATAAGAATGGCAAAAACTCAATTTAAAGGTATAGTTGTGTGTATATTAGTACAACATACATAGAAGGAAGAGGAAATTGGCAGGGCACCAGAATAAGAAGTGAAAGTATAGGGTATGAAGGGGGTTAATAACAGCAGTAGCACCTGATGTGTTTCTATAATTTGTTAGGTATTTGAAAAACTTTAGTTAACTGGTTTTTATTTACTTTGCTATGTAGCAGGAATTTATGGTTAAAGTTATAGATAATTATCAATAAAATGAGCTCTCTTTCCCCTACTTCCTCCTACCTGTAAAAACATTGCAGATATCAGGTTTAGGACTGTACACGGTTTTTATAGTTAAAAGATCTTGTTAAATTACATCTGATTATATAAGCACATCCACTAGTGAAATGAAAAGTATCAATAGAAAATTATACCTTCACATTTTAAAGTAAATTCATTTTAAATTTAAGACTTACAAAAATTAATCGCAATAATACATTTTTAGATCTCTCCACTTGTAAATCAAGGTGCCTTAATTACCCTCAGGGGGCATCCAAGCGAAATAAAACACTGGAATGGATTTTTAAAACCTCTAGAAACTAAATTAAATAGCTTTTTCTATACATCAGGGTATCAAGAACTGAAGGTCTGATATCTCATGCAGTGCCAGGGCTACATAGAAATGTTTAATCCTATAGGAAGCCTGGAGTGTCAGGTCACTAATGCGATAAAGCAGGTGTTTCTAGACCTGAAGGCTCACAAAGCATTGGGCCTTAAAACTGTCACTGCTCCAGGATTGACCATTCTCTCTTCTTGAACTCAGACCAGAGTACATTTAAAGGGAAATTCCACATTTGGGAGAAAACGCAGAAATATTTTTGCATGTACAATAATCAATATTTGCAGCAAATATCTCCAACCAAACAGCAACAATTGCAAAGGTGTGACATCACTGTTCCATATCCCATTCATTTCAATGAAGTGGGTACTCTAACTTGCATGTGCAGTTTCTTTTTTGTGTTTTTTTAAACAAAGACATTAAATATAAAGTTATAGCATCAATACACAATAAAGGTTCTCTTTTAAAGAGAAATCCAAATTATAGTTCTCATCCTAATGTTGCCCACATTACACTTGTAATATATTCAGTTACCAGTTTCCCCATCTGTAAAATGGAATCTGACAGTTCACTGACTTCCTTTGTAAAGGGCTTTGAGATGTACTACTGAAAAACGCTATGATCTAGGTACTTATAATTATTACCACCACCAGTTAGTCTATTAAATATATATTTATACTATACGTATAACGTGGGCAAATTAAAGTTACTACAAGAGCCTTAGTTTTTGCATTTCCTGACGTTTGAGCATCATGAGTAAATACCCTTTGTGTGTTATTTGTATGTGCATGAGTGCAATTAATATAAATAAAGCAAGTCATAAGTAAAAATAGAGCTCTTTTGTGCTAATAACTCTAAAGGCTAGAGATCTTCACACACATTAAGTCTGTTTTGTTGGTGGTCCCTCAGTGCAAAGCAGTCTAAAACCAAGCAGATAGGGTAGTGGACATTTCTGAGGGTAGCTACACTTGCCTCTAAAATAAAGGGTATTCATGAGGGGAAAGAGCATGCACTCAGGCAGAATTGTCCCTTGGGGCCATTGGAAGCCAGTGTAGTTTAGAGCAGAGTTTTCTCTAAACTACACTAGGAACACAACTGGCACAGAACCATCCACAGGTAGGGAGGGAGGGGCAAATGACCATGATGGATTTGGAGTTTCCTGTAATCTACAAAATACCAATCCCTTCTATATTTGTCTGAGCACTGTTAATATATTTACTGTACTTTAGCCAGATGGTAAGAAAACTACCCAGGAAGATAGGCAATAGCCCAGATAAGAGTTCCTCAGAAAACACCTAGGATTATTAACTGATATGCTACCTCCGCCTCCCTGGTGAGCTTGCCAGACCAGCTTTCCCAGGACTAAGTCACCCAATCTGTGAAGGTGGGGAGATCAAAGGCTGAGAGGGATTTATAGGGACACTCTCTGAAGGGGAGAGGGACTGGTTTTGTGAGATGCTTAAGGGGAAGAAACTGCCTTCCAGAGGTTGGGCGTGTCTCAAGGTAGCTTAGCCCAACTAGGGTCTCTGCTAAGGGAAGGCAAGTCTTTAGGTAAGATAAACATGCACATAGGCCTTTTATTGCCCTAAAAATGCTTTTCTCTTACTATGCTGTATTCCTACTGTTAAGATTCAACGATATAGTTTTAAGAAGGCTGTTTTGGGTCACTTTATTCACTGCTGGTCACAAGTTCCTGAAGGGAAGAACTGCAAGTATTGAGTCCAGTCAGACTTGTTGAGTAATCTTTGTTGGTGGGAGAATCATGGGATTCTGCCATGGAGGAAAAGTGGGAGGCCTAAGACCTAGAGGCAGGTGCACTCAGAAGACACCAAGGGACGGGGTCAGAGGTCCAGGTAGCCCTGAACTATGACAGACCCCTTCCCACCCTCAGTTGCACCCCTGATTTATAGGGTAACAGTTGATAATCTATTCCAAAGATTCACTGAAGTCCCACAGGTGAGGTATGTAATACAATAATAATAATCTGAAGTACAATAATTATATGCATAATTAAGAAATGCATTCTAAAATAAAGTAACCATTGGTTTTACCCAAAATATGACTAAAGAAACTATAATTGTAATGTGGATTTTGTTGGAATGCAGGTGGGGAAGAAATACCAGTTTGCAGGAAGCAATAAATGGTACCCATCCCCTTTGTTTGAGCAGAAAAACATCAGTGATCTAAAGTACATATTATAGTTTAATATACAGTAGTGTGCATTGAAACCTGAGAGCTATGTACACGTGATGGGCCTGACCATGAACTCTTTATATAGGGATAGAGTAAAAAAGCAAGTAAAAAACTGAATTTTCTCTAGTTTCCTTCTTACAAAGTGAAACTATTGTGGTCTTTTTTTTTCCTAACAGAGAGAGGAATTACCTGATCCAAAGGAAGTGGAACTTTATGAATTCCGCTTCAGTGACTTTCCCGTTACAGAGCATGGCTTGATTAAGTGCGGAATACGATTATTCTTTGAGATAAATGTGGTTGAAAAGTTCAAAGTCCCCGCAGAGGTCAGATTTATTTTGTTATATTAGGTACATTTTACCCCTCAGTTCCAAGTTCTTTTAACTAGAACTGTCCCAGAGTAAAATATTAGAAGCAACAGTAGCATACATCCGTTCTTAGCTTTTTATATATAAAACATTCAATATCTTTTACTTTTCCCCTGTTCTGAGTAGATATTTTTCACAGATTCATATTAAATATGTAAAGCTAGGTGGTAAATTGTTGTGTGCTTAGTTAGATAAAAAATTAAACTAGCATTGACTTATATAACAGTGGTTAGCTTCTATGTTTATTTTAATTAGAAACAATGTTTCAGCTTTGTAAAAGCTGCATATTTTCCTGTAAAGATATGAAATTCCATCTTAATTTTAAAGACATTCCAGGACTTTGTTATATTTTAACACTACTGAGTATGATATGCCTTTTATTTGTAACAGGTACTTACAAGATGGATGTACACAGTCAGAAAGGGTTATCGGGATATAACTTACCATAACTGGCGGCATGGATTCAACGTGGGACAGACAATGTTCACCTTACTAATGGTATGTTTTGTCACTGTAAACCTATCTTTCGTTCAATTTGTAGTTCTTTTAATTTCAACAGGAATTGTAAAATTCAAGCAGGTATACACTCAAAAAAGTCTCTTCTCCTTTATAGACAGGTAGACTAAAGAAATACTATACCGATCTAGAAGCCTTCGCCATGGTTGCAGCTGCTTTCTGCCATGACATTGATCACAGAGGGACCAATAATTTGTATCAAATGAAGTAAGTTCAGCTACACTGATTTATACATACAAACACCTGTACATATAACATTTGTATCAGTAACTAAAAGAAAGATGTGAACATATCACCACATGCAAAGATACAAACTATACTATTTTCCATAATTATTTGCAAAGCATGCACTGTGTGTTCAGTGCTCTGCAAAGCACATCTATCAAGAGAGTCTGACCCAGAGTATTTATAACCTATATGAAAACACCAAGACAAGAAGCTTTGGGAGAGCCTGAGGAAGGAGTCCTCTTAGCTAATGTTTTTCCTAATTTGTCTTAAAGAAAGGGTGACCCACTTTTATGCTTGGATTCTGAGGGGTGCCTTTCAAAAGGTGCCATATTGAAGGTGTGAAAATAGGAATGGGAGAAGGAAATGAAATGGGTATTGGAGCTAACACTGTTGGCAGAGTGAAGCTGGTGAGAGGGAGCACATTAGGAGACAAGATTTAAGATGTAGGCCAGGGTGAAGTTGTGTAGAGCCTAGAACAGGAGCAGTCAGTTATTTTTTGTCAAGGTCCAAATTTCTTGGTCCTTGGAGGTACAGACTCCAGAGAAAATAATAAAAAAGAACAACAACAATAATAATAATAATAAGTAAATAAAAAGATTTGGGGTCTGGCATCTGGCAGTTCAGATTTGGCCCACAGTCCACCTATTGACTACCCCTGGCCAAGAAGATGAAGGAGGTGAATCCCCCTCCCTCTAAAGTCAGTGGCTACACTCCTGCTGACTTCAGTACAGCAGGATCAAGTCCCAGGTGCAAGATCCTCACCCCCATTCTGGCTCCTTTATGCTGAGTGAAAGAGCCAAAGAGTGCCTCCCAGCCTGGGTAGACAGACTTGCACCAGTTTAGCTCAAGCTAGCATGCTAAAAATCGTGAAAGTGTAGTGCTGAAAGAGAACTCAAGAGGTCTAATCCAGCTCCCACATTGAGACAGGACCAAGTATATCTAGACCATCTCTGACAGCTGTTTGTCTAACCTGTTACTAAAAGCCTCCAAGAACTGGGATTCAACAACCTCCCTTGGAAGCCTATACCAGAGATTAATTACCCTTATATCTAATTTAAATTTCCCTTGCTGCAGATTAAGCCCATTTCTTCTTGTCCTACCTTTAGTGAACGTGGAGAACTCATCACAGTCCTCTTTATAACAGCCTTTTAACATATTTGAAAATTATTTATCAGGTCCCCTCTCAGAATTCTTTTTTCAAGACTAAATATGCCCAGTTTTAACCTTTCCTCATAGGTCAAAGTTTCTAAACCATTTATCCTTTTTGTTGCTCTCCTCTGGACTCCCTCCAATTTGTCCACATCTTTCTTAAAGTGTGAAGCCAAGAATACAGTACTCCAGTTGAGGCCTCACCAGGACCAACTAGAGCAGGACGATTAGCTCCTGTGTCTTATACATAACACTCCTGCTAATAGACCCCCAGAATATTCGCTTTTTTTTTTTTGGCAACTGTATCACATTGTTTATTCATTCAATTTGTGATCCACTATAACCCCCAGATCCATTTCAGCAGTACTACCACCTAGTGATTTATTCCATATTTTATAGTTGTACATTTTTCCTTCATAAGTGAAGTACTTTGTAAAGTTTTTTTATTGAATTTCATCTGATTGGTCTAATTTCAGACCAGTTCCTCTAATTTATCAAGATAGTTTTGAACTAATCCTGTCCTCCAAAGTACTTGCAACTCCTCCCAGCTTGGTTTCATTTGCAAATTTTATACGCACACTCTCCACTCCATTATCCAAGTCATTAATGAAAATATTGAACAGTATCAGACTCAGGACTGACCCCTGTGGGTCACAGTTTGACCATGAACTAGTCTTTGAGTACAGTTTTTCAACCAGTTTTGCACCCACTTTATAGTAATTTTATTTAGACCACATTTTCCTGGTGTATTTATGAGAATGTCACATGGGACTATGTCAAAAGCCTTACTAAAATCAAAATATAACACATCTACTGCTTCTCCCCATCTCCATGGCCAGGAACTCTGTCAAAGAAGGAAATTAGGTTGGTTTGGCATGATTTCTTTTTAACAAAACATGGTGGCTATTACTTATAACCATTATCCTCTAGGTGCTTACAAAATAATTGTTTAATAATTTGTTCCAGGTATCGAAGTTAGCTTGATTTTTCTATAATTTTCTGAGTCCTCTATGTTGCTCTTTTTCAAGGTGGGCAAACACAGTATTTTTCTCTAGTCTTTTGGGACCTCAGCCATCTGCAATGAGTTTTCAAAAATAATCACTAATGATTACAAGATTGCTTCAACTAGTTCCTCTTTACATACCTTAGGATGAATTTCATCAGACCCTGCCAACTTGAATACATCTAAGTTATCTAAATATTCTTTAAGCTGTTCTTTCCCTATTTTGTCTTGCATTCCTTCCCCTTGTTGTTAACATTAATTATGTTATGTATGTGGCCACAATTTACCTTTTCAATGAAGACTGAAGCAAAATAGGCATTAAACATATCAGCCTTCTGGATGTTGTTCTTTATTGGGTCTCCTTCCCCACTAAGTAGAAGACCTACACTTTCCTTCCTCTTTCTCTTGCTTCTAATATATTTATAAAAACTTCTCTAATTGCCTTTATGTCCCTTGCTGGTGTAACTCATCTTGTGCCTTAGCCTTTCCATTTTTGTCCCTAATTGCTTGTGCTATTCTTTTGTACTCATCCTTAGCAATTGGTCTGTATTTCCACTTTTTCTAGGCTTCCTTTCTGATTTTCAGCTAAAAAGTTTCTGCTGGAGCCATAGTTGCCTCTTATTATTCTTCGTATCTCTCCTTCATATTAGGATTGTTTTTGGAGTTGTATCTTTAATATTGCCTCTTGGAGAAACCGCCAGATCTCCTGAACTCCTTTTTCCCTTTGATTTTCTTCCCATGGGATCTTACCTAACTTTTCTTTGAGCTTAAGTCTGCATTTCTGAAATTCATTGTCTTTATTCTGCTACCCTCACTCCTTCCTGTCCTTAGAACCAGGAAACCTATCATTTCATGATCACTTTGAATTGAGTTGCCTCTCACCTTCAAATTCACTACCAATTCCTTCCTGTTGGTTAGAATCAAGTCTAAAATAACTGCCCCCTGGTTTCTTCCTCCACCTTCTGAAACAAAAAGTTGTCCCCAACACATTTCAAGAACTTATTAGGCAATTTGTGTTTTGCCATATTACTTTTCCAACAGATGTCTGGGGAGTCCCCCCACTACTATCAGGTCTTGGATATTTATTATTTATTCTAGAAATGCCTCATCTACCTCTTCTTGCTTATTTGGTGGGCTATAATAGTCTCTCTACCATGGCTTTTCCCTCCTTTCATATTCACCCAGAGACTTTCAATTGGTCTGCCTCTCATCTCCTTCTGGACTAAGAATATATACACTTATTCTGAGATGTATAATGCAACACCGCCTCCCTTGTCCTTCCTGAACAAGCTGTACTCCTCTATATCAATAGTTTAGTTATAAGATTTATCCCATCAAGTCTCTGTGCTGCCAATTAATTCATACTTTAGCATATGTACTAATACTTCCAATTCTTCCTGTTTATTCCCCATAATCCTTGCATTTGTGAACAGACATCTAAAATGTCAAGCAAACTCCCCATCCCCACCCCGTTATCACTCTTGTTGCTCCTATGGACCCTATTGTAATTTTCTGTCTCCGCCCCCTTCCCCACTGAACATTTAGCCTTCTGTTAAGGTCACTTTTTTTATACCTGTGGGCTTTTGTCACCTGCCCCCTTTGAACCTAGTTGAAAGCCCTCCTTACTAGGTTGGCTAGGCGGTGGGTGAAGATGCTTTTCCCCTTATTGGTCATTGTGGACATCCTGGCATGGACAGTGGCTTGAGCTCATGTTGGCATGGACTTGGGTGGCTTGCTCAAGCCGGCACTTGTGCTACAATGTTCATGCTGCTATTTTTAGCATGCTAGCTCAAGCAGAGCTAGCGCTTGTCTGTCTACCTCGACTGGAAGGCATGTTCCTAGCTGCAGTGTGGACATACCCTAAAAGACCCGTACTGCCATCAGGTGTGTGATTACAGCTCTTGTACACATACCCAAGCCACCTTTAATCTAGCTACAGTGGCTAAAATAGCAGTGAGGGTGTGGCTGCACAGGTTTTCATGCAGGCTTTAGCACGAGCTGTAAAAGTTACCCCAAACTACTAACATTCCTAGCCCACACCACGGTCCACACTGCCATATTTTTACTGTTATATTTACCCACACTAGCTAGCTAGAATAAGATAGCACAGTATGCCTACATGAGCTGCAAATCACACCTTCAACAGCAGTGTAGACATACTCTAAGCTATGCAGAGCAGCCCAGGTTTGGGAGGGTGCAAAGTTGGTTTAAAGCCACCTTAGCTTCCCCCTCCACTATGCTTCAAGTTCTTATCCTAGAAGTTTTAGCCGGATACTCTGTATATGGCAAATTCAGTGGAGCAACGCAGAGAGGGCTGTGACATATGATCAGTTGACAAAGTAGTAATTTTGACTGTAGGGAGGCCAAATTGGGGGAAGATATGGTAGTTAAGATGGGAGATTAAAACACTGGTCTATGGTGTTGTAATTGTCAGGATGGAGAGAGAAAATAGGATTTTCAAAATGTTAGAGAAAGAAGTGGCAAGATTTAATGGCAATGTAGGTGTGTGGGAGCAAATTCATACGGACATTATCATGGCTGAAATGCAATAACAAAGCATGACCTATTTATTTACTTGTACAAAGTTTGCCAAGTCCGTGTAATATTTTGTGTCAAGTCCCCTTAAGATATTGCTACCAGCCCACTACTCATAAGCAACTGTACAGCAAACTAGTGTGATACAGAAAAACAATTTTGTAAGGAAATAGATTTCAGACTTATTTCAAGAGATTATTCTAAAGCTCAGTTTGTAACATATTAGTTTTGAAGATAAGATAAAATACTGTGTCTCCTTTTAGGAATGTGATCAGACAGAACATTCTTATGTGCTCTACAGTGATTTTAAAAAAATAATAGAGAGTTAGCTCCACAGTTGGTGTAAATAGGTGTAGTTCTGCTGACTGCAGTGGAGCTATGCCAGTTTACACCAGTAAGGATCTGGCTGGCATAGATTGCTCTGTGTATAAGAGATTGTAAATGATGTGGGGAGTAGAAGGGTTTCCTTTTCCCTAGTAAATGTTTGCAGTGATACACACTTCATTTTATTTTTTTTTATTTTTACATCATTGTGCATAACTAGGGTACCACTTTTCATCTGTAGGTCAATTAATCTTTCATGCATTCTTTCTCATGATATATACTGTACATTGTAATCACTTGCTTCTGGGCATTTGCTAGCCAACAAAAACTCCATAGGCTCTCAGTCCCCAGTAGCTAGGGAACATAATAATCATGATCTTTAGGAGAATATCCTGCCAGTAATGCAGAATGACTTATTAGGTAACACCCCTCATCCTCTTCCATGAAGGAATTTTCAAGTTGTACTCCGTGGCAATGGCATTTTCTGATTATTGTCAGGGATTCTCCAGCTGATACAGGAGAGAGACAGACTGATTCTTACTGAGCATCACTCAACCAAAGAACTTTAAAAGGGCTGAGGCCAGATCTTCCTACCAGGGTCCTCCCTGACTGAAAGGTCCATTCATGAGGTCAGCCAGGGTGAGCAATCTATTGGGCTTTACCACCACACATGTACAGATTAATGAATAGCATGCACATTCCTCCTTGGTTCACCCCAGAAAGTGACCTGTTAGCCAAGGAAAAGAAAAAGAAAAGCCAAGCATGGCCCATATTCAAAACAACTAGAATAAAACATGAACATGACCCTCTCCCTCACTGCCCAGAACTCTAGTGTAGAGCTAGAATTACTTCTGCTTAACACTCAGCATGAGATAAGAAGTGTTTCTGTGACAGGCTGAAGATGTATGAACTTCCATAGACTGTGTAGTCCATAAAGCTGTAAGTACTTTCTGTGGGATAGGGCCCAAGGAAAGGAAAGGAAATAGCATTGCACAGTCAACATGGTAGTTCCATTCGATTTAAGCAAACTATAATAAATTAGAAATGCAGTGGCACGGCGGTCCACTTTGAATGATACCAACCAGAAGAGAGGTCAAGAGCCTACCAACAGCTGAATAATAGGTACGTTTCTACACATGGAAGGTGCATTGATTAAAGAAACAAGAACTACTAACACACAGGACAAAATGGGGTAAATTTTCAAAGGCACAAATGGGAGTTATGCACCTAACTGCTCCTTGTGTTTTTGAAACTCTCTCCCTCAATCTTTTCTCAATGACACTGCTGAAGGCATATACGTATTGTGTCATTTTTAAGCAGGTATTATTCTGTGTCATGCCACAAAACTAGGTTAGTCAAGCAATGTTAAACCATTTCAAACTCCTTCTGTGGAACATGCAGCTTGTTAGAACATTAATACTACAAACTTAAAACAGTCATAAAAATATGTACTTTGAAACATTGTCAACAATTACTTGTTTTTCAACAGATCAGCTTCTCCATTAGCAAAACTTCATGGATCTTCCATTTTAGAAAGACATCATCTAGAGTACAGTAAAACTCTGCTACAAGACGAGGTTAGTATATAAACACTTTCTACTAAAACTGATAAACACCAAAGCTCTTTTATAGATTCTGACCTTTCCAAGAGGTTAAATTGGGTTAAAAATAGCAGTGTAGATGGGGAAGGCATTGCTTGGGAGAGTAGAGAGCGCAGGGGTCAGGCATGTCTTTACTCACCTAAGCAGTGCCTCACACCCTACACTGTTATTTGTACCCATGTTGGGGGGAATGCAGTGTATGTACGCCACAAAAGGAGTGTGCAATGTAGCTGTACCTACAGACTTCCTGTGTGCCCTTGGACAAGTCAATTGCTCTCACTATGCCTCAATTTCCCACTTGTAAATGTGTACTATTTCCCTACTGCACAGGGAGATTGGCAGGATAAATCCATAAATACCTGGGACATGCTTCAGCACTATGGTGATGGGAAACTAGATGGGAGCTTTATAAATAAAGATGACTTCAAACATTTTTGAAAATGTTTTTCTACTAGTTTTTCATACTAGAAATATCAGACCTTAACTTCCTACTCTTGCTGGAGAAACTTGTCAAGATCTTTGGAGCTCCTGAATATTGATATCATAAGAGGCTGTAGTTTGAACTGCAACTTTCTACCCCTCTTCCCCAATTTAAGGGGGAAGAGAGAGAGGCCAACAAGCTTAAACAGTCTAAGAAATACGTCAAAGTCTGAGGCTATTGAAGGCTCAGTATCCTCATTCCCTTCAGTGGAGGGGAAGGAGAGCAGCAGCTTAGGTTAGAGTCACGTGTGATATATTATTAGTAGTACTTATGTGGAAAAAAGAATCACTGCCCTGAAAGGCTTAAAATCTAGACACGGATGAAAGGTGGGGAATGTGGCTACAACATACAAGCAAATGAACATGGGGAAGAATTGGCACTGCTGTGTTACATATATTGTAGGTTATGTTGTTTGTTTTTAATTGTATATACATGTAGCAGAGTTATGTCTTCATAACATCCCCAAGAACAGAGTGGATCTGGGTTCTAGTTCAATCTGGGAAGATAAGATCTGGTCCATGTACAGTTCGCTGACATGGGGTAAAGCCCATCACACAGCTATAGGTCACCAATCCCAGCCCCATCCAACCATCCTCTTTCCCCATGACTCCTCCAAAGGTAACACATGTTTTCTATGGGGTAATTGGTGGCCTGATCCTTCCTGCTCCAAAGGTGGTCTCTTTTTCTTAAGGACTTTAGGGCACTTGGTAGTCATTCCCTCCATCCTGCATCTTAAAAGAGGTGCTAGTTAAAGGCTTCTGCTCTCCAACCAATAAGGTTAGAGAACAGTCACACCCTTCACCACTGAGTGAAATCACAAACACACCCACAGCCTTACTGCCAGCACTACTAAAGTGAAAGCAGGAGAATTAATGCTCCATAATTCCTAGCTCTCAAATCCATGAAACCCAGCTGGGTTCCATACGACGGGTTTCAAGGATACTACAGCACTGTAACTTTTAGGGGTTCCCCAGCTACTGTCTTGGAATTATCAGGCACTTATGACCCTGCTCTCAATTTAGCAGCCATAGGAATGGGAACATGTTCTCATCCTGTCTGCCCTCTGAAGTGGAGGATGGTTAGGCTGCTATCCATCCTTGTGAATTTCAAAAGGCCATGGGGCCCTTGCCTAGTATCATCCCCTCCCTGCCCCCTCAATCTGCAAGACGTATGAAGGAGCAACTATGCTCCAAGAGGAGCTGTACAGTAAGGGAGTTTCTGCTATCAAGGAAGAACTAAACCAAAAAAGAACTAATATAAAACAAGATGGCCCTTGGACAGTTGTTCTAGATTCAGTTACTATAAAAGAGCAGACCAGATATTTCACCCATGAAGTTTAGCCACCACAAGGAATATAGGAACTGCTTTGTATATGTTTTCATAATCATACCTTATTACAATCCACTGGTTTACATTCCAAGCAAATTCTTGTTTCATTTTAAGATAAATGACACTCAATCTTTATTCTAAGAGGTTTGAAAATGGAGAACAAGTATGCATCTCCCCAAAACAATGTGGTCTGGATTAGATATGGGAGGGGCAGGGATCCAGCCAATAAAAGAAAATTAAACTACATGGTGAGCAGGTATTGGCTGCACACTGCATCATGCAAGTGAAGACTGTAGTTGTTCAGATGTTCTAATAACTTACCATTCCGAAGGAGCTCCAAAGCTACTTTCTATTTTGGTTTCTCCAAGGAAGTAGAGGTATTATTTATTTTAGAGAGACGAGGTGGGTAAGGTAATATCTTTTATTGAACCAACTTCTGTTGGTGAGAGAGACAAGCTTTTAAGCTTACACAGAGCTCTTCAAGCTCTTCTGTGTAAGCTCAAAAGGTTGTCTCTCTCACCAACAGAAATTGGTCCAATAAAAGATACCACACCTCACCTACCTTGTCTCTCCACAGTTCTGGGACCAACACAGCTACAACACTGCATACATATTATTTATTTTGTTATTTTTCTAAAAATTCAAAGATCTAACCACCTCACAATTTCAACTGTCCTAGATCAAGCTATTCTAAGACATGATTCAACATTCATAGAGCCTTTCAGAAAAAGAAGAAAGCTTGCAGAAATCTCACTCTTACCTTTGCAAACACTGTACTTGTATATTGCTTCTGATAACTCTAAATAAAATGTCTTACTATTGTCACTATATTATCACATCAATAGTAACAGAAGTGTTTAGGCTATGGAATATAAAATAAATTTGATGTTTTTATTAAACCATTTTCAGCTCTCCTCACAGTACAGCATAAGGTTACCTTTTTTTTTAGCCACACCTGTTTTTCCAAAACTGTATCTAACATTTTATTTTGATTTAAGGAACCATAGATGGCTGTAGAGCAGGCTTATTATAATATACTATAGTACAGCCTGTAGAGTACAAACCAAAGATAATTTTGTAAGAGAAATTGAATTTGTAAACTTTCCATCTTGCAGAGTTTAAACATCTTCCAGAACCTAAATAAGCGCCAGTTTGAAACCGTTTTACATTTATTTGAAGTTGCAATAATAGCAACTGACTTGGCTTTGTATTTCAAGTAAGTACTAAATTATGTATAACTTCCTACTGAAAAAATTCTCAATCCTGTACAATTCATGACTGTAGTTTTTCCTAGTTATAAACAGATTATAGAGCTATATTTTAAAATGAAGTTATTCTGAAAAACTTCATTCTTCAAGCTTGTTATAAGGAATAAGATATTTTCTTTGATTCACTTGAGGCCTTTAAATCTCAAAACACAAATCATGAATTTTCCTCCATGTCTCATACTGATATAGAGCATATATTTATTAGGCCATCCAAATACACTTTCCATTGACAGTGCACACTATATTTTAAAAGGCACTAAATATGCTGATAGTGTAGTCCAATTGTAGTGTGTATGTGATATTTTATGTAGATATTCTGTACTAGAATCACTCATACTGAAATTGCCAAAATGCTTAAACAGGGATGGCCTATGATGTAGAAATTAAAGTATGATAAAAGAAATCCAGACATTAAAAAAAAATCTCCAGTGTCAAATGTGTCAAGAATTCCGAAGATCAAATAATTTGTCTATTTACTATCTTATCAACCTGATCCACCACCAACTGAAGTCAATGGAAATATTCCCACTGATTAAAATGAATGCTGGATCAGGGCCTAAGAGCTCTGAAGTTTTTCTAAAAAAGACACATGGAGCTCTTTTCCTTTAATTGTTTTAAGATTTTTGACACTCAGAGCTGTCAGATAACAGGGAAGTCAACAAGTAATCCATATTCAATGCATTTTTTATAATGAATGATAAATATCTTTAATTATATTAGAATGTTTTATGTATGTTACAACTCTGTCCAGTGAGGTGAAACCTCTAAATGCAAATGAAGAGATTTATTAAGCAATAACTCTCTACACTCCAGCACCTCTCATCCAGAAGGATCACATAGCATGTTACTTAACCTCTCTTTATAAATAGTGATCTTTTCACCTTTTCCAGTTGATTTCTTTGCAGAATCAATCAAGAATGAAAATATGTAAACCCTTACAATATTTGGATAAGATTCAAGAAACAAAATGATCACAAGTAGCAATATACAGATTTAGGAAATCTGTTGCTTTTCATATTAAAGCTTGACATATTGACAAAAGCATTACATGTCAGGAATCTATGGCCAAGTCTATGAGCTATGTAATACCTAAATATAACTCCCATTAAAATAGATGGACTTCAATGGGAGTTAGATCTGGACCAAGCCAAACACTATTTTAGAAAAGCATTAATATAAGAAGCACCTATTATGCAAAAGCCCAGACATTTTTGGATACCAATACTTTATATATGAAATATTCATATATTTTTACAGGAAAAGGACTATGTTTCAAAAGATTGTGGATGCAGTTGAAAAAATGCAAACAGAAGAGGAGGCAATTAAATATATATCTATCGACCCAACCAAAAAAGAAGTTATCATGTAAGTAGTTAGTATCTTACTCTTCTTTCAATAAATTATCTAGGGCCAGATTTTTAGAAGTATTAAGGAGCCATAAGCTGCAGATAGGCGCCTAGTGGGATTTTCAGAAGTGATTAGGCACCTAACTCCCATTGGCTTCACTTTGGAGTTAGTCCCCTAGGCGCTTTTGAAAATCTCACTAGGCGCCTATCTGCACCTTTAGGTGCCTGAATAAGTTTAAAAATCTGTCCCCTAGGTTTTTTCTCTGTCAGACTTATACTATTTCTGTTTCTTCAAAGGGCTATGATGATGACTGGTTGTGACTTGTCAGCTATAACCAAGCCGTGGGAGGTGCAAAGTCAGGTTAGTATCTCAAAAAGAAAAATTTTGATTTCATACACATTTATATTTGCGCTCTCATTGCATCATCAGTGAATGACAATACAGAAAATTCATTTTATATTGCAAGTCTATAGATATTTAAGTGTAAAACAAAGCGTAACCACTTGCATCTACAAATTGTGCCTGAGAATTGGACACCATTTTCTGGAAGCAGGGACGAATTAAGGCAATCTATGGCACTAGGCACTCCATGCCATGAGCCCCCCTGTGGCGTCGCCCCATTGCCCCCACCCTCCCACTTGCGAATCAGTCAATATAGTTGTCCCTGCCTGTAGTATCCATTCTAGCTTTCTTTAAAGGATCCTTGATAACCGATTCTCATTCACTTTTATTTTATCAAATTCTTGCTTTTCTTCTGCCAGCTTTAGGGTGTGGCTTTTACAATAGCATGATCTTAAACTAGACACCAATACACAAACGTAGATCCTTGCACTATTTTAGTTTGACTAAACCACTCTAAAATGGGCTTTTATGGCTTTGAAGAGATCATCTTGCACATCACTATTTAGAAATGCTGTCAGTGCTTGAATTATAGGTATCTATGCAGACAAGATGGCTTTAATAAGAGTTGATCTCTTGAGTTACTTCCTTGAACAATTCTAAAACTAGAATTAGATTCTCTGTAAGGCTCCACTGGGATGGAACAGAGTTTATGTAGATCCATAGTAACAAAAGGATAGATTCTTCACACAAAGAATGAAATCCTATTTATTTTCCAATTAGCATCTGAGTATACTAAAAGTAGAGTTTCCTGGTCATGACATCTTGAATCAGCTATGTAAGAGGCAGGCCTAGCAAAAGAGCTATGTCAGGCTCATAGACATCGATTAGCCTGCAGATGGCTATTCTAATTATGTTACACTGACACAAAGTTGCAAAGCATTCCAAGCAGTATACTTTATAATTAGGAGATTTTATTATGTTGCTCTATTGTCTTGGAACACCATGGAAAATGCTATTTTCAACTTTGTACCATTCAGTGAGCATGCCCCCAAATACCATCAAAATGGCAGAGACCATCTGTTTACTAACAAAAGCCTCACACTGCAGCATTCCTGTTCTGTAATTCACCTATCCTGTGTGTTAATGATCCCAGAAAGAACAATGTGGAATAGTTTTGTGTCTACACGTTCTACAATGATGGTATTTGCTGTTTTTTATTTACCAGAATTCTCTCCTCCTGGAGAACCTTTCCAAACATCTCATGGATAACATTGGTAGCAAGAAAACGTGCAGGAGGGGAGCTAGTAGCAAGGTTTCAGTAGTTCAATAAGATGCAAAAATGTTTCCTGTCAGTTCCTACATAATTTTGTTCAGCTGATACATACATAATATGCACAAGTAAAAGCATAAGCATTACAGCAAAAAGCATACTGGCAAAATTCAATTAATAGCTATGATAACAGGATTATACATTTTCCTTCTGTCTGGTAGATCTGTATTACTGGATATATTAGGAATCACTCTGCTAGTTGAAGGACCAGCAGCACTCCTAGCTTGAAAAAAAATTAGTGGTTTTTCAAATGAAATAACCTAATTAATTCTCAATTAATCCTAAACAAAAACGTTCTTCAACATTTTCTGGAAAGACTTGAATACATTCCAGCATCATTCTACAACTGTACTGCTTAATACAACATCAGTAACACAGGAGATTCTCATTCTCAGGTTGCCCTTATGGTTGCAAATGAATTTTGGGAACAAGGTGATCTGGAGCGAACTGTGTTGGAGCAACAGCCAATTGTAAGTATTTTGACATGTTAAACAGCATTATCTTCAATATGAAATAATAGCTTTTGAAGACATGTTTGTCAGTAACAGTTGTCTTATTATTGAAACAAAATGTAGCAAATTCACCTTAAAATATTGATATTCTTTTCTAGCCTATGATGGACAGAAACAAAGCAGATGAATTGCCTAAGCTTCAAGTTGGTTTCATTGATTTTGTGTGTACATTTGTATACAAGGTAAGAATAAAACTTTGATTCTTCCTTTGCATTGATTCTAATGACACGAGTGACAAACAATAGTTTGGATTAAAACATTCTAGATGTTAGCAGGGCCTTCCTAGTCATTCAAATAGCGGTCATTCAAAGGGTCATGATTTTTCACCTCCTCCTGTACAGTACCACACACTCCTAAAAGGTGCTTAGCATCTTCTGGAGATGTGGAACCCCCTGAAGTCCCAAGGAATTCAAGGGCACTCAGCATCTCCAGAAGTTGCTCAGTTCCCTAAAAGATTGAGTTTGAGCTTAACCACTGAGCTTCACAGAGCCCCATCTAACACGAAGAGCATAACACATGGATGGATTGGGGATCAATGAAAAGTATGCACCTGTGCTGGATTAGCATAGGAAGAACTTGAGTTGTTCACATCTTCTAAACAGCAATGTAATACATGTTTCTACACCATCTGGATTTTAAGGCTCTTCCAAAATGCCATGCAGTAGAATGAAATGTAATATTTTGAACAACAACAGGTAAAAGTCCAGTCTTCAGATATCACAAGTGTTATAGTGAGCATGGGCAAAGACATGCCAGGAGAGTGCACTGGGACGGGGGGAGGCTTAGGGAAAAGGGTAGACTTTACAGCACATAATTCGGGCCTTTGATGTTACTGACCCAGTTTGGTGCTTCTGATAAACTCCCACCACATGCCTCATACTCCACCACCAATGGAATGGTACCTGCAAGTACCACAACTACACTTCATCTTTTCCCTTTGCCTAGCTTGTGGGTTTTTCTGGTGCACATCAACAAAGTGCTGAGCTTATAACACAAAACAAACGTAAATCTCTCTCACTGTGCCTGCCACATAATCAAACAGCTAAAACTGGAAAGTGAAAGCAAATGAAGTTTCTGTACATCAACAATATTTGTGTATTCATGCTAGAACCTGAAAACAACCATTCATTATAAATGGACAATTTACTAACTCATATTGTTTATTTAGGAATTCTCAAGGTTTCACAAGGAAATTACACCAATGTTGGACGGTCTTCAAAACAACAGGGTGGAATGGAAAACACGGGCTGATGAATATGAAGAAAAGATGAAAATTATTGAGGAAGAAAAGAAAAAGTTGGAAGAAGCAGCAGCCAAAAAAGGTTAGGCATCTTTAAGGTTTTCATTCATATACTAAGCAACCACTTGGCATATTCTGTCTGAAGCACACACATCCAATTACACATTTATTTCAGTTTTCAGAGTAGCAGCCGTGTTAGTCTGTGTCCGCAAAAAGAACAGGAGTACTTGTGGCACCTTAGAGACTAACAAATTTATTAGAGCGTAAGCTTTCGTGGACTACAGCCCACGTGGGCTGT